GTTATTATCACTGCTAGGGGCATTTTATTATTATCACTGCTAGGTGCATGTTATTATTATCACTGCTCGGTGCATATTATTATCACTGCTAGGTGCCTGTTATTATTATCACTGCTAGGTGCATGTTATTATTATCACTGCTAGGTGCATGTTATTATTGTCACTGCTAGGTGCATATTATTTTTATCACTGCTAGGTACATGATATTATCATTACTGCTAGGTGCATGTTATTATCATTACTGCTAGGTGTATGTTATTATTGTCACTTGCTAGGTGCATATTATTATTATCACTGCTAGGTACATGATATTATCATTACTGCTAGGTGCATGTTATTATTTTCACTGCTAGGTGCATGTTATTATCATTACTGCTATGTGCATGTTATTATTGTCACTGCTAGGTGCATGTTATTATTATCACTGCTAGGTGCATGTTATTATCATCACTGCTAGGTGCATGTTATTATTATCACTGCTAGGTACATGTTATTATCATTACTGCTAGGTGCATGTTATTATTTTCACTGCTAGGTGCATGTTATTATCATTACTGCTAGGTGCATGTTATTATCATCACTGCTAGGTGCATGTTATTATCATCACTGCTAGGTGCATATTATTATCACTGCTAGGTGCATGTTATTATTTTCACTGCTAGGTGCATGTTATTATCATTACTGCTAGGTGCATGTTATTATCATCACTGCTAGGTGCATGTTATTATTGTCACTGCTAGGTGCATATTATTATTACTGCTAGGTGCATGTTATTATTATCACTGCTAGGTGCATGTTATTATCATCACTGCTAGGTGCATGTTATTATCATCACTGCTAGGTGCATGTTATTATCATCACTGCTAGGTGCATATTATTATCACTGCTAGGTGCATGTTATTATTATCACTGCTGGGTGCATGTTATTATTATCACTGCTAGGTGCATATTATTATCACTGCTAGGTGCATGTTATTATTATCTTTGCTAGGTGCATGTTATTATCATCACTGCTAGGTGCATGTTATTATCATCACTGCTAGGTGCATATTATTATCACTGCTAGGTGCATGTTATTATCATCACTGCTGGGTGCATGTTATTATTATCACTGCTAGGTGCATATTATTATCACTGCTAGGTGCATATTATTATCACTGCTAGGTGCATGTTATTATCATCACTGCTGGGTGCATGTTATTATTATCACTGCTAGGTGCATGTTATTATCATCACTGCTAGGTGCATGTTATTATTATCACTGCTAGGTGCATGTTATTATTATCACTGCTAGGTGCATGTTATTATTATCACTGCTAGGTGCATGTTATTATCATCACTGCTAGGTGCATATTATTATCACTGCTAGGTGCATGTTATTATCATCACTGCTGGGTGCATGTTATTATTATCACTGCTAGGTGCATGTTATTATCATCACTGCTAGGTGCATGTTATTATCATCACTGCTAGGTGCATATTATTATCACTGCTAGGTGCATGTTATTATCATCACTGCTAGGTGCATGTTATTATTATCACTGCTAGGTGCATGTTATTATTATCACTGCTAGGTGCATATTATTGTCACTGCTAGGTGCATGTTATTATTATCATTGCTAGGTGCATGTTATTATTATCATTGCTAGGTGCATGTTATTATCATCACTGCTGGGTGCATGTTATTATTATCACTGCTAGGTGCATGTTATTATCATCACTGCTAGGTGCATATTATTATCACTGCTGGGTGCATGTTTTTATTATCACTGCTAGGTGCATGTTATTATTATCATTTCTAGGTGTATGTTATTATCATCACTGCTAGGTGCATATTATTATCACTGCTAGGTGCATGTTATTATTATCTTTGCTAGGTGCATGTTATTATCATTACTGATAGGTGCATATTATTAGTGGTGTTAGCACCATCACTGCTACCACACTTACTATCACCATCTCACAGTTTCCAGGCCTAATAAGAAGAAAAATTATTGTAATGGCTGAAATGAAATAAGACATTGGTACCAGCGTCATCTCTGCCTAGATCACTCTGATCATAAGATCACTCTTATCATAAGATCACTCTGGTCATAAGATCACTCTGGTTATAAGATTACTCTGGTCATAAGATTACTCTGGTCATATGATTACTCTGGTCATAAGATCACTCTGGTCATAACATCACTCTGGTCATAACATCACTCTGGTCATAACATTACTCTGGTCATAAGATCACTCTGGTCATAAGATCACTCTGGTCATAAGATCACTCTGGTCATAAGATTACTCTGGTCATAAGATCACTCTGGTCATAAGATCACTCTGGTCATAAGATTACTCTGGTCATAAGATCACTCTGGTCATAAGATCACTCTGGTCATAAGATTACTCTGGTCATAAGATTACTCTGGTCATAAGATCACTCTGGTCATAAGATCACTCTGGTCATAAGATCACTCGACCCATAAGATTACTCTGGTCATAAGATCACTCTGGTCATAAGATCACTCTGGTCATAAGATCACTCTGGCCATAAGATCACTCGACCCATAAGATTACTCTGGCACTTTCACACACTTCAGTTCGTTTATTTCTCCCCGATGTGATCATGGTAATGAATATGATATTGTGTATATGGACTTCAGTAAGGCTTTCGATAGAGTTCCACATCAGAGGTTATTGAGGAAACTTGAGGCACACGGAACAGGATAATTTTTTTCCTGGATAGAGGCATGGTTGAAAAATGGGCAGCAGAGAGTTTGCATAAATGGGGAGAAATAAGAATGGGGGCACTTCACAAGCGGTGTTCCGCAGGGGTCACTGTTGGGCCCCCTTGTTGTCCACAATTTACATAAACGATATAGATATGAGGGAATAAATAGTGACATAATCAAATTTGCTGATGACACCAAAATAGGCCGTCCAATTCATTCTAATGAGGACATTAGACCACTCCAGGATGATTTGAATAGACTGATGCAGTGGTTGGAGAAGTGGCAGATGCAGTTTAATATAGACAAATGCAAAGTTCTAAATGTTGGACAGGAAAATAACCATGCCACATATAAACTAAATTATGTAGATTTTAATATTATTGATTGCGAAAAGGATTTAGGAGTTCTGGTTAGCAGTAATCTGAAACTAAGACAAAAGTGCATAAGTGTTCGCAATAAAGCTAACAGAATCCTTGGCTTCATATCTAGAAGTATAAATAATAGAAGTCCTCAGTTTGTTCTTCAACTCTATATATCTTTGGTTAGGCCTCATTTAGACTATGCTGCTCAGTTCTGGTCACCGTATTACAGAATGGATATAAATGCTCTGGAAAACGTACAAAGGAGGATGACAAAGTTGATCCCTTGTATCAGAAATCTTCCCTATGAGGATAGACTGAGGGCTCTAAATCTGCACTCTCTAGAAAGGTGTAGAATTAGGGAGGATATGATTGAGGTGTATAAATGGAAAACAGGAATAAATAAAGAGGATGTAAATAGCGTGCTGAAAATATCTAACATAGACAGGACTCGCAGCAATGGCTTTAAGTTGGAAAAATTCAGATTCAGGAAGGATATAGGAAAGCACTGGTGTGGTAATAGAGTTGTGGATGAGTGGAACAAACTCCCGAGTACCGTCATAGAAGCTAAGACATTGTGTGGTTTTAAAAATAGGTTAGATAAATACATGAGTGGGTGTGGGTGTGTGAGTTGGACCTGACTAGCTTGTGCTACTAGGTCAGATGCCGTTCTCCTTCCTTAAGTGAATGTGAACTGACCTGACTAGGTTTGGGCATTGGCTTAAGCCGGTAGGAGAATTGGACCTACTCGCATGGGCCAGTAGGCCTGCTGCTTCTTATATTCTTACAGAAATCAGTATCAAGGTTCTTAGGAAGTGTCATACACTATGGTAGTGTTTGATTACAACACACACACACACACACACACACCACACACACACACACGATCAATATAATCCATTCTACTGGCATGATAAACGTAATATATATTTATTCGCTCTCTGCACACAAATTAATATTAACTTCACCATGACACGATTTTCGCTATGTTAGCCGCGCCGCCAACATCACTACTGTTGCCACTTTACAAATTACTCGGCTTTTCCAAATAAAAAAAATGACAGCGGATAATTGGTTGATTGGGATGACTGTGTTTTTTTTATTTAAATATTCCTTGTCTGTTTATCTTTGTATGTTTAGCAAACACGATTTCTACTCTTTGTTTTATAAGAATATTTCTTATTACTTTTGTTATTATTTCTGTTATTATTATTATTATTATTATTATTATTATTATTATTATTATTATTATTATTATTATTATTGTGGGGAAGCGCTAGACCCATAGGGGTCAAACAGCACATCCAGAAAATTCGACCGAAGCTAAAGCCATTCACAGTGATCCGAAACAAAACATTGAAAGAATGTCGGGTGGTAGGGGGTCTGTTGTGGTGGGGAGGAGGATGTTGCAGTTGGGAGGGTTGTAACCCGAACTCTGACGTCACCACACTTCCGATAACACAACTGTTGAATGAATAATGGTGAATGGGTTTTCCTTTTCTATGGTTCGCAATCCCTATCTCGGGTGGGAGTCGACTGGTGTGTTGAAAATTAAGTAACAGTTTTGGTCAGTGAAGGAAAACGTAATGCAGATAAGTGGAGGATCTCCATTTGTCACTTGCTGGTGGGGAAGAGCTTTGGATCCAAGGAATGTGGAGCTAATCTTCTCCTTCCTTGGATCAAACCTGATTACTTCCCATTCTCAAGGTGCTGTGGGAATTTCAGGAATTTAACACTAATCCATGAATATAATAATAATAATAATAATAATAATAATAATAATAACAATAATATTAATTTTAAAACTAATAATAATAATTCTAAAATAATAATAAAATGGCCCTTGGGAGCCAATTTCTGGTATACATCATTTGTCATATATTGCAATAATATTGTGGGTGAGTATTGTGTGAGTGAAGAGCAGGAGTGGTCCTCCCCACAGACCGTGAGCAGCCAGTACGGGCCACAGAAGACCAGGATGAGGACCAGCTTTGACCCGGAGCTCGAACTTCCCCGTCTACAACGATGGTTTGCCGAGAACCAGCACCCTACCAGACTACAGGTGAGTAGTAGTAGTGATAGTATTATTGGTAGTAGTAATTCTATATTATTATTATTATTATTATTATTATTACTCTTATTATTAGTAGTAGTTTTATATTATTATTAGTGTTTATAGTATGATGATTATTATTATTATTATTATTATTATTATTATTATTAATAATAATAATAATACTAGTAGCAGTAGTATTTATTTTTACTGTACAGCAATAAAGGAGTTGAACGGATTGCTTGCACATGTCAAAGCCAGTCGTAGCATGAGCCAGTGCAGGAAGAAAGTTAAAAGGTATCTAATGAATGAAGCTACAGAAAGGGAGGAGAGTGACTTCTTGCATGGTTAACATTTTTGTATTATTATTGTAAGCTAATCCTCTCTCTAATGCTCATGTAAATAACTCAGTTCATTTTATTTCCATTGTATCTCCTTTTATTGTAACTGATTCTCACACAGTTGAGTCACTTAGCTGTTTTAACTTTTAAGGTTCTAATCAAGACTGACTTCTACTGTAACTTACAGCAGCTGGACTTTAAATATCAAGATATTACAAGGACTCCAATGAAAATAAGTAACTGACTTTTTGGGGGGTTATCCTTGGTAATTTACACGTATGTTAAACTATGTATGATAATTGTATTTAGGTGTACATGTACCTAAATAAGCTTAGGTATTATTGTTAACATTCTGGAGAACTGGGTGAACAAGAAGTAATCATGTTTAATGCAAGGAGAGGGAAGGTAGCTCCGATTCCTTAAATCAAGAGTTGTCACCGGCATCAGAGCACGTCCTTGAAGAGCTGCATGAACTTGGCTTAAAAAAAATTTCCTGTCAAGCTGATGTGCTCTTGATCCAGTGAATTGGATCCATCCTCCACTTCGTTAGATCAAACCTGATTACTCTCCAGTTATTAGGAGCTGTGTGTCCCATACATGATCATCTCCCAATAAAAATAATAATAAATATATAATATGACCAGTATTTTAGACCGGTATTTATAGATAACTTTTTTGCAATTTAGAGTTTTGATTTTATTGCCTTATAAAAACACAGATGAAAATAATGATTGTAAGAGTTGTGGCAATAAAACAATATAATTGGAATAAGTGTTGTAATTGTGCGTTTGTTTTTGTTGCAGATCCAGCAATATGTTGCAGAGCTGAACGCACTGGAGTCAAGGAGAGGACGCAAGCCTCTTGACGTCAGTAACGTAGTCTACTGGTTCAAGGTGCGTCATCCGTGCATTAAAACTGTACGTACACTCGGTATATATATGCACTTCTCAGTATATATACACCGAGAAGGGAGATTATCTGTATATGCACCTAATTTTAGGAACTATATAATGTTCATGACTGGTTGTGTACAGGTGATTTGTAGTCGTAATGATTGTTGCTTCTAGTATAGTCACTAGGCTGTACATTGGAGGTATATAGGTGACATTCAGTCATAATGCCCCTAGTGTAGTCGCTAGGCTAAAGGTATTTAGGTGACATACAGCCTGAATGTTCCTAGGCTTTAAGTCGGAGGTATGTTGGTGACAGGCAGCATTAATGCTCCTAGTATAGTCACTAGGCGTTAAATCTAACATCACTATGCTCTGCAGTGCTTCTCTTATTATTAATAATTGTTTGCTTTTCATGTTCTTTTGTTTAATTTTAATACTCATTTTTATTTTGTACTTTATTTAAAATAATTTGTTTAAATTATCATTCATCTTGGGGGTAATTGAATAAGTATTACAAGTTTGTCATTATTTATCGAGAGGAAGGTAGATAAACACGAGTCTTCATTGACAAAACGTTTCGCTCAATATTTTTTATCACAACGTTTCTAAGGACAGAGGCCTGGTCACAGACCTGGCCGCGGGGACGTTCATCCCTGAAACTCTCTCAAGGTATAGAGTTTCCGGTGTTAAAAAATGATGTAGTAAGGGCGAAACGTTGCCCAATTTAAGACTCGTTCTGTTACTAGTTTATCTACATTGTTAGTAATTTTTTTCATGTGTCAGCCTAAATGTGGATTGTTTTATTTTTTCTTTATATTTTTATCCTTCGTTGTGTGCTCTGGCTATCATCGTTCTATTTTCTTGCTATCATCAGTCTCTTGCTATCATCATTGTCTTCTCGTGCTATTACTGTTGCGTCATACTAGAATACTAGTTGAATGCGTACGAGCCGAAGGGGAAGATAGAGCAACCACACATGTGGGAACGGTAGTGTACGAACTGGGGATAGAGGAACTACGCATGTGGGAACGTTAGTGTACGAACTGGGGAAGAGGAACCAAGCATGTGGGGACGTTAGTGATAAATGGAAATCTTGAAAGAAACTAAGTTACAATAGTAGTGTGAAGAGGGTAGAAGCCGAAAATGAAGAAAGTGGGAATTAGGTAATGAAATGTGAAGTGATAAAAAATGAAGTTGCAATGGGAACTCACGCTGATGGAAAATGAGACATCGCAGCCTATTCCAGAATGGAAAATATAATCATTGACAATTGGTTCCCCCAGATTCCGAATACATTCAACGTTCTGAATAGGCTTACATTAAAAAAAAGGCATGCGTTCCAATTTTTGGGTCAGCTCTTTGATTTGATAAAAATGGACGAGCCAAATATACAAATATACAACTATACAAATCTTTGAAAAGATGGTTAGATACAATTTGTGAATTCTGCTCCTGAATGACTCGTGAAAAATCTCATCAGCATTTTCTGTACTAGATTGAGGACTGCTCAATAAGGAATGGGAAGTGGGGGGTGGAGGAACGCCTTCATGCTGGGGAAGGGCTCTTGAACCAAGGAATAGGAGCTTCCCTCCCAGTCCTTGGATCCTACCTGATTATACTGTTGCCTAGGCTCTTGTTAACCTTTATATAATTAGCGTTTGCCCTTGACTATAATAGTATTATTCTTGCTAGTATATGACTTTGAAGGAATTTAAGGAGCTAGGATAAATAGGATACCATTGTGTTAAAGAAAATTTAAGGATAGGCTATGGTAAATACGATAAGATATATTGTAGACAGGGCAAGCCTTAGTGTATGGAATGGATAAGGATAGTGCTATGACAAATAGGAAAGGATATCAGTGTATAAAGGACTTCTAATGAGTAGTGTGGAAAATAGGATAGGAGATGATATCAGTGTATAGGATGAATTTTAATGATAATGTTATTGCAAATAGGATAAGAGAGGATATCTGTGTATTGAAGGAATTTAAAGGTAGGACTAGGATAAGAGAGGCTACTAGTGCATGATTTAGAAGGGTGTGGGGTAACCGTTGGGGTTCATCTTGTGAGGGTGGGGGTTGTGTTGCAAGACACATTAATGTGGTTTTGTGGTGGTCGACAGAACGCCCGGGCCGCCTACAAGCGCCAGGAGTTCCGTTCCTTCAACGGTCTAAAGTCTCCCCCGCTGGACGAGACTAGCGTCTCCGACAACGACGACCCCTACCCTGCCCCCGCCCCCCACACCCCCCACACCCTCTCACACTCCCCCCCCACACCCCACGACCACCCACACCTCCATCATCAGCAGCAACAGCAGCAGCAACAGCAACAGCAACAACAGCAGCAGCAACAACAACAACAACAGCAACAACAACAAGCTCAACATGAAGAAACTCAGGTGAGTTTTTTTTGTTGTCTTTGATTTCTTTATTCATATATATTTAAAAAATTGTTCACCATAAAATTTTTTTTATTAAAATGGCTAATGATTTTCTTTGCTATACTAGTTGTTTGTCCCATACGGGTTCAACGCTTGCTTTTTTAGAACATAAGAAAGAAGGAACACTGCAACAGGCCTACTGGCCCATGCGGAGCAGGTCCATATCCCACCCCCGATTAGCCCAATGACCCATCCAGTCTGGTCACCTCCACTCAAGGAAGGATAATCACAGTATATCTATTATTATTATTATTATTATTATTATTATTATTATTATTATTATTATTATTATTATTTATTATTATTATTATTATTATTATTATTATCTTCTTATTGTCATTATTACTGTGTTTTTAGATTATATTCAATAAAGCAAGTCATGTTCTTTAAGGAAGGTTCTTTAATACCGGTGAAGGGCTCTTGATTCAAGAAATTTGTTCAGTTACTTTCCAGCATATATATACCAGTATACATACACTTCCCAGTGTTTACCTGGAGAGAGTTCCGGGGGTCAACGCCCCCGCGGCCCGGTCTGTGACCAGGCCTCCTGGTGGATCAGAGCCTGATCAACCAGGCTGTTGCTGCTGGCTGCACGCAAACCAACGTACGAGCCACAGCCCGGCTGGTCAGGAACCGACTTTAGGTGCTTGTCCAGTGCCAGCTTGAAGACTGCCAGGGGTCTGTTGGTAATCCCCCTTATGTATGCTGGGAGGCAGTTGAACAGTCTCGGGCCCCTGACACTTATTGTATGGTCTCTTAACGTGCTAGTGACACCCCTGCTTTTCATTGGAGGGATGTTGCATCGTCTGCCAAGTCTTTTGCTTTCGTAGTGAGTGATTTTCGTGTGCAAGTTCGGTATTAGTCCCTCTAGGATTTTCCAGGTGTATATAATCATGTATCTCTCCCGCCTGCGTTCCAGGGAATACAGGTTTGGGAACCTCAAGCGCTCCCAGTAATTGAGGTGTTTTATCTCCGTTATGCGCGCCGTGAAGGTTTTCTGTACATTTTCTAGGTCAGCAATTTCACCTGCCTTGAAAGGTGCTGTTAGTGTGCAGCAATATTCCAGCCTAGATAGAACAAGTGACCTGAAGAGTGTCATCATGGGCTTGGCCTCCCTAGTTTTGAAGGTTCTCATTATCCATCCTGTCATTTTTCTAGCAGATGCGATTGATACAATGTTATGGTCCTTGAAGGTGAGATCCTCCGACATGATCACTCCCAGGTCTTTGACGTTGGTGTTTCGCTCTATTTTGTGGCCAGAATTTGTTTTGTACTCTGATGAAGATTTAATTTCCTCGTGTTTACCATATCTGAGTAATTGAAATTTCTCATCGTTGAACTTCATATTGTTTTCTGCAGCCCACTGAAAGATTTGGTTGATGTCCGCCTGGAGCCTTGCAGTGTCTGCAATGGAAGACACTTGTCATGCAGATTCGGGTGTCATCTGCAAAGGAAGACACGGTGCTGTGGCTGACATCCTTGTCTATGTCGGATATGAGGATGAGGAACAAGATGGGAGCGAGTACTGTGCCTTGTGGAACAGAGCTTTTCACCGTAGCCGCCTCGGACTTTACTCCGTTGACGACTACTCTCTGTGTTCTGTTAGTGAGGAAATTATAGATCCATCGACCGACTTTTCCTGTTATTCCTTTAGCACGCATTTTGTGCGCTACTACGCCATGGTCACCCTTGTCGAAGGCTTTTTGCAAAGTCTGTATATATTACATCTGCATTCTTTTTGTCTTCTAGTGCATTTAGGACCTTGTCGTAGTGATCCAATAGTTGAGACAGACAGGAGCGACCTGTTCTAAACCCATGTTCCCCTGGGTTGTGTAACTGATGGGTTTCTAGATGGGTGGTGATCTTGCTTCTTAGGACCCTTTCAAAGATTTTTATGATATGGGATGTTAGTGCTATTGGTCTGTAGTTCTTTGCTGTTGCTTTACTGCCCCCTTTGTGGAGTGGGGCTATATCTGTTGTTTTTAGTAACTGTGGGACGACCCCCGTGTCCATGCTCCCTCTCCATAGGATGGAAAAGGCTCGTGATAGGGGCTTCTTGAGTTCTTGATGAACACGGAGTTCCATGAGTCTGGCCCTGGGGCAGAGTGCATGGGCATGTCATTTATCGCCTGTTCGAAGTCATTTGGCGTCAGGATAACATCGGATAGGCTTGTGTTAATCAAATTTTGTGGCTCTCTCATAAAAAATTCATTTTGATCTTCGACTCTCAGTCTTGTTAGCGGCTTGCTAAAAACTGAGTCATATTGGGACTTGAGTAGCTCACTCATTTCCTTGCTGTCATCTGTGTAGGACCCATCTTGTTTAAGTAGGGGCCCAATACTGGACGTTGTTCTCGACTTTGATTTGGCATAGGAGAAGAAATACTTCGGGTTTCTTTCGATTTCATTTATGGCTTTTAGTTCTTCCCGCGATTCCTGACTCCTATAAGATTCCTTTAGCTTAAGCTCGATGCTTGCTATTTCTCTGACCAGTGTCTCCCTACGCATTTCAGATATATTGACCTCTTTTAGCCGCTCTGTTATTCTTTTCCGTCGCCTGTAAATTTTAGGGAGCGCCTGTCTCTTTCTATTTTACATCTACTCCTCCTTTTTCTTAGAGGAATAAGCCTTGTGCATACATCGAGTGCCACCAAGTTAATCTGTTCTAGGCATAAGTTGGGGTCTGTGTTGCTTAGTATATCTTCCCAGCTTATATCGGTTAGGACTTGGTTTACTTGGTTCCACTTTATGTTTTTGTTATTGAAGTTGAATTTGGTGAATGCTCCCTCGTGACTAGTCTCATTATGTCGGTCTGGGGCTCCACGCATACATGTCTGAACCTCAATTATGCTGTGATCTGAGTATATTGTTTTTGATATGGTGACATTTCTTATCAGATCATCATTGTTAGTGAAGATGAGGTCTAGTGTATTCTCCAGTCTAGTAGGCTCTATTATTTGCTGGTTTAAATTGAATTTTGTGCAGAGATTTAAAGCTCGTGTGAGTGTGAGTTTTCATCAGAGCTGCCTCCTGGTGTTATTACTGCAACAATATTATTTGCTATATTCCTCCATTTTAGGTGCCTTAAGTTGAAATCCCCCAGGAGCAAGATGTTGGGTGCAGGAGCTGGAAAATTTTCCAGACAGTGGTCAATTTTTAACAGCTGTTCCTGGAATTTCTGGGATGTTGCATCCGGAGGCTTGTAGACTACCACAATGACTAGGTTTTGGTTCTCGACCTTTACTGCTAAAACTTCCACTACATCATTTGAGGCATTAAGCAGTTCTGTGCAAACAAGTGACTCTGCATTATGTGCAGAACAACCACTGAAAGAATAGTGAAATTCCAAGCGCTTTCATGATTTCTAACATTATCGAGGACCTGTATATATACACTTCCCAGTGTGTGTATTATATTATATATATATATATATATATTATATATATATATATATATATTATGGATATTATAAATGTCAATTACTATACTATTATATATTATATATTCCAAGAATTATACACTTTAAAGTTACTTAGTCCTTACTTTAGTTATGTAAAATATAATGGTGGGTTTACGAGGAACATGCGTTAGATGACCCTCGTTTTAATTGTAGTTTTAAACCTAACAAACTATAAAATTAAATAATTAATACCTGAAGAATCGATCATGTGGAAAAGTTCGTTTAGAACAAACTTCTTGTTGTATGGAAATGTTGTGTTAGTCCTGAGAAGCCATGCAGAAAATATACTAAAAGTTACGAGTTACATTTAATTGCAGTCTACTGTTAGTTGAAATTGGTTCACTTGGTTGAACTGGTCTTAATGTGTGTGAACTGTGCTTGTGTGTTAAACTGGTAGATTAGTGATTGAACTGAAGGATTGTGTGTTGAAACTGGTGACTTGTGTCTTGAAATCTTGGTGACTTGTGTGGTTAGATACATTTGGTCTTGTGTGTTGAACTGGTGATTGTGCTTGAACTGGTGACTTGTGTTTGAATGTGGCTGGTGGGGACTTGTGTGTTGAACTGGTGACTTGTGTTTGAACTGGTGACTTGTGTCTTGAACTGGTGACTTGTGTCTTGAACTGGTGGACTTGTGTCTTGAACTGGTGACTTGTGTCTTGAACTGGTGACTTGTGTCTTGAACTGGTGACTTGTGTCTTGAACTGGTGACTTGTGTCTTGAACTGGTGACTTGTGTCTTGAACTGGTGCTTTGGGTATGTCTTTGTTGAACTGGTGACTTGTGTGTTGAACTGGTGGCTTGTGTCTTGAACTGGTGGCTTGTGTCTTGAACTGGTGACTTGTGTGTTGAACTGGTGGAACTTGTGTCTTGAACTGGTGGCTTGTGTCTTGAACTGGTGGCTTGTGTCTTGAACTGGTGACTTGTGTCTTGAACTGGTGACTTGTGTGTTGAACTGGTGGCTTGTGTGTTGAACTGGTGACTTGTGTCTTGAACTGGTGGCTTGTGTCTTGAACTGGTGACTTGTCTTGAACTGGTGACTTGTGTCTTGAACTGGTGACTTGTGTCTTAAACTGGTCTCTGGTCTTTTGAACTGGTCAGCAGACTCAAAAAGTTCTCTGAGTGTTCCACACTAAAGCGACTGTTAGCGCCTTAATCAGTCACTGAAGGTCTGCATGTGACCCTCTCACTGAGTGCCCCACTGTATGATCTACTGAGTTCCCGTCTGAGTGCCCCACTACATGCTCTCATGAGTACCCGTCTGATTGCCCCACCGCTTGCTCTACTGAGTGCCCCACTGCATGCTCTACTGAGTGCCCCATCGCTTGCTTTACTGAGTGCCCGTCTGGGTGCCCCACTGCATGTTCTACTGAGTGCCCCACTGCAGGCTTTACTGAGTGCCCGTCTGGGTGCCCCACTGCATGCTCTACTGAATGCCCGTCTGAGTGCCCCACTGCAGGCTCTACTGAATGCCCGTCTGGGTGCCCCACTGCATGCTCTA